TCAATGTTTATTTAGATGGCGGCATAGAGGTAGCCAGCTAGCAAGCTATGCTCGTCTGACAACCGTACACGTCTCTCAAAGCCATTTAATTGTATCTTTTCTTGTCTTATTTGTTACTCTTTGATCAAGAACCATTTCGATATCATTCAAAGTATGTTGTCGGTTTCACTAAGATTTCGTCTATAGATTTATTGTTGCTAAGATAAAAAATATGCTGAGTATCAAACAAGGTATTAAGGTATCCTCCTACCCATTAAGTCGTCATAAAATGTTCCAACAAATTCTTCAGAACTTCAAGTCGCAGAAAAAAAGATACCAAGTACGAATTCGCAGAAATAAAACGGAAAAACAAAAATTACCCCCGGCACAATTCAAGATCGATTCGTCTCTACATTTAGCGGCTCAAAACCATAGTAATAGTAATAATAATAATAATAATAATAATAATAATAATAATAATAATAATAATAATAATAATAATAATAATAATAATAATAATACAATATTTATAGACGGCTAATTCCCAATGGTCCAAAAGCCCTTTACAAAATAAAAATTAAATAACATAAAGAGATACCCCTAACAAAAACTAAATCAAAATCCTATAAAACTACATCATCGTCCTATAAAACACCATCATTCTATGAGACAACATCATAAAAAAACTTTAAAAAGCCAAGTCTTAAGCTTAGATTTAAACGAAGAAAGGGAATGACAAGATCTAAGCTCGAATGGAAGTGCATTCCCAACAGAGAATGCAGCAATAGTAGAAGACCGGCCACCATAAGTCTTAAGATTAAATTTAGGTGTAGAAAGTAACAACTGATAAGAGGATCTAAGAAGTCTACCAGGCCCCATTTGTTCGAAAGGTGGATAGCGCGATCCACTAGATAAGTTACTATCCACTGGATTGCGCAATTGGTTTTTGTAATACTTATCCGCTGAATAGTGATTTATCCGGAGGATAGCGCTATCCAACGTTTGTACAACAGGGGCCAGGCCCTGGTTGTTCAAACGTCGGATAGCGCTATCCATCGGATAAATCACTATCCAGCGGCTAAGTATTACGGAAATCAATTACGCTATCCGCTGGATAGTGATTTATCCGGTGGATAGCGCTATCCGACGTTTGAACAACCGGGGCCAGGACTTTAGGTTATAAAGGCATTACAATACCGCAAATTGGTGTTCGTGATGGTGTACTAACGATCCTAATTATAAAGTCTCAGAAACGTAGTTTAATAATAAGACTAATAAAAATAATAACCTGAGTCTCGCGTGAAGTAAAAAAAAATGAAAACGGAAAGGTTCGTAGCAAATAGCACCAATAATTAAGTCGTCATACTAACTGGGAGCAAAGAAGTGATATTAGGCTGCACTAAATTGTCAACTCATATCAAACTGCATGACAAGGATTTGTGAACTGAACGTCAAACCCAACGACTTTTAACAGCTGTAAAGTCCACGATGCAAAGGAGGCAAAATGGTTATTTATCACAACTTATTCATGACAGCTCCTTAAATCTATTTAAATCTTACTGACCATGTTGCGCAAGACGGCTCTGAATTTCCGTCGATGTTATAAAATAATGAATGATTAAGGCTGCAATATTTGCACGGCTGAACTTAGAGAAGCAAGCTGACGTCTCACTGGCGTCTTTTGTACACTCATAAAATCTACAATCACTAGTAAATTGTCAAATATGTCATTGGCTAAGCCAAAATAGATGCTAAGTGTATTCACTGTAAGTCTACTTCTTGCGTAATGCTAAAAAACTGAAAAAACATACTCACGAAGGTGACTGAATATTCCACGGTAAACCTGTGCGAGCACAATAAAGCCCAACACATATAAGCACCAAGAAACCAGGTCGATGTTTATTTAGCTGATGGCATAGCGGTAGTCAGCTAGAAAGCTATGCTCCTCTAACAACCGTACACGTCTCTCAAAGCCGTAAAATTGTATCTTTTCTAGTCTTATTTGTTATTTAATTTCTGTGTTAGTCTCTGATCAAGAACCATTTCGCTATCATTAAAAGTATTTTGTCGGTTTTAAGTTTTCGTCTATAGATTTAGAGTTGCTAAGAGAAGAATTTGCTGAGTATCAAACAAGATCAGTGATTAAATTATCCTCCTATCGAGCCACTGACAAAATATTTTGGACATCCTAAAATCACTACCCCCGAAGTCGTAATAAAATGTGATAACAAATTCTTATGAACTTAAAGTCGCTGAAAAATAAAATGAGTACGAATTCGAAGAAGTAAAAGGGGTATTCGTCTCTCCATCTAGCGGCTCAAAACCACGACAACATTGTCGAAAACATTGTGTCAGACACAAGCTTATGTTTGGCCAGCCGACTAAAGCAACGTTCACACGAATCCTCAGGGTTCTATCTAGGGTATTTAAGGGGTAGAAGCATCCCCCCCATGTTATCATTGCAGCATATACGTAACTATATCGGAAAAATCATCCAGACGCGACCAGGTCAGTGCACATGAAGTAAGTATTCTCTGTCTACACAATCGTGCCTCAAAATGCATTGAATGCACCAGATTGCATCTCGGCGCATAGTCATCTCAAAAAATTTCCGGCACCCCCCAAGAAGCTCGTGGCATTCGGCCACTCGGGACTTCTCCCCAAACGATAAATCCTAGATTGAACCCCGATCCGGGTATTTTTGAAATCGCATACTTTTTTACACGAATCAGTCTTCCGTCCACACGAAACCAGTGAATCCCGACACCGAGAACGTATTTTTGAAACCGCTCTCCATGCAGAGCGGTTTAAGACCCCGTCCACAAGAAGCCGGATAAAAAATAAGCGGGTTCAAAAATGTTCGGATAAGTAAGGACACGGCCTAAAAGAAAAGAAGTATCCTCCTCTTTGTTCATGATAAACGAACAAGGTAGGAGATTGAACACTTCATTGTCAGTTGAACTATTGAACTGACAATGATATCCTTATTTCCTCTTAAGTTGGAAGGTGCTAAATAGACACAAATATCAGCAAACTTACCAAAAATTACGCCATCTTGTGTCCAGAAGAATGATCAGAACTTCAAAGATTGATCTTGACATAACTCTAGTTCAGTCATAATCTTCATTTTTGCGTAAGGTTAGTGTGGCCTGCTTCTTGACTTTATCCAGTGGCAGTTTCGAAGCCTTTCTGTACACGACTGGGTGTCTGAAACATGAATTTACAATTAAAGTGTAAAGTTCCATGCGAAGTAGTTAGCTACAACCAGTTACGAATAGCTAGGCCTGAGACAGTGCAACTTATTTGGCCGTAAAAATGGAGTTTAACTGACTGTGCAAGATCGTTTCATATCTCTTTCACCCGTCTCAAAAGCGTTGAGACACTTTTATAAAATGGCCCCGTTTTGAACAGTGGACATACCTATCCACTCCCCCTAAACCAATGTTGTATTTCGGACACTCAAGTCTTTCTTTTACTACAAACAACATTGCTTTAGGGGTGGGGTAATTTACGACGTTTAAATAGGATGAAATAATAAATTAATGAAATTGTTGATAAAAGCACTCGTTTTCGACAAGTGTGTCAACTAATTTTGTCCCTGATTGTAGTGGCATATCGACTGGCTGGGGGTCTTCCATCCAAAAAGTATGGGGCACTGATGGAAGCACAAGCTCCAGCCAGGAGCAGAAACATCAACTGGTAATGCCACTACGCGTTAAAATGATAAAAGCTAGACTACCAGCAGTCCCTTTTCAGTAAGCCCACCCCGCCCCACTCCCCCCAGATTTACATCCACTCGATTGAACTTACATTGCCTGATATTTACAAGGAAAAAAAGATACAATATGGCAATGTCTCTGCTAGACAAAACGTTGGGCTAATCAGACAAAGAGATAACAGTATCAGTATTAATCACTGAAAACAAGATTGCGCCTGAAGATTGTTGTCCAGTATAGTGTATTAGAGCACCGCTTGCTTTCAATTCAGTAGTTCTCTCAAGGAATTATTGAGGTATTTTTTTGTAAGACCCTATTGTAGGATTTCAACGCTAAAATCACGTTTCCTTAAAGAAACAAGACCCCCATAATGAGGGTTCATTTGGCTCTTCCGAGCGTATATAGCTACTCCTATGAAGTGGAATGGGATAGACATATGTACTGTCATTTGAAGTTGTATGATCCTCTAGGTTAAATTAGTCCTGAAACTATAAACTTTATGCAAGAATGGTGTTTCCGTAGCAAGATATTAGTTAACGAAATACGTTTCCCGTTTACGTAAAGACAAATCGGTACCACTTTTAAGTGAGGGATTTATAGTAACTTCTATCATTATGGATAAAAATAGGCAAGTTAGCCTATTGAAATAAATCGATTAAGTACGCCAGACATTTTATTTTATTCGCTACTTGTTTGTTTGCTTGTTTGTTGTTTTCTTTCACAACTCGTGGTTCTTTAATTTGCTGGGTGGCGATATTTCTGCCTCAAAGGGTGGCAGCATTCTACCATGGCACGGGTGGTGAATGAAAATGTACCAGTTATAAAAAGGAAACTGGTGTCTCTCGAAAGTTAAGTCTAGTGAAATGAATTGTTTCTGTTCAAGTAGACATTCCAAGCAGCCTGATTATACATCTAAGGCTGCTATTTCAATGATAGACCTTTCGACGGTTTTTATTTTCAACTTTTTTCATAGACAAGTTAGGGAAAATCCAACGACTCCGCTTGAAAGAGCGCCTTTAAATTTGTAAACCTGCCAAGTTTGAAAGAGATTTAAAAAAAAAAAACTAACGAAGATATAGCTCGTCAAAGTCACGAAATTTTACGAAAGTTTGAATGGTGAAGGCACAAACTTGGCAAGCTTGCTAATACTGAGGCGCTCTTTCCAGTGGTGTTGACGGATTTTCCCTCCCTTGTCCACGTCAAAAGTTTAAAAAACCGTGGAAGGGTCCATATTGGAAACTGAACAAAGAACATAGACCAACGACAGTCTCAAAATAGCGATGTGAGATCATATCGCATGTAAACATGAATGAATTTACAGTTGGTTCGAAATTTAGGCCCTGTTCACGCGAATCGCATATTTGTTGCACGGATCCGTGTGGACCCAGATTTAAACCACTTACTCTGGAGAGTAGTCTCCAAAAGATGTGGTTTCCGACGGCGAGCGGATTCACTGGTTTTGTGTGAGAGATTTTCCACTTCCCACAGATTAAACATTCTTGTACTTCACTCAGTGAAATCCCTACAATTTTCATATACCTCAGACCATTCGGGCGGAATCTCTCCGTTCAGGTCATTATAGGGAGTATCCCTCGGGGGATTTGTCATTCCAACTTTTGTATCTTTTTTTTTCAAATAATGTCGTGTTACCATTTAAATAAAGCCTCTTTGGCAGAAATTTTTGGAAAGTACTGCTATCATCTTGGTATAGGACAAAAGAAATTGGGATTTTTTTCATTTTGAAATTCTTACGGTGGCCGATAATAAAATTGAAAGTGTTAAAGAAACATGAATTGTAGTGTAGAGTCTGGACGATAGCCTATAATTATGGGACTATTTAAATTAATCGCATTGGCAATACCTTTGCATGCCTACTACTTATTTTTCAGTATTGTACAAGATTTTAATTATATCTATTTTCTTAAAAGTTTGATTTCAGAAGTGGTTGAGAGGTGGAGAAAACAGAGGACAAAAAGGCATATTGTCTCAATTTCCCGGAGGCAGACAAGCTGGAGATTGGCAAGATAACAATGACTTCAGCAAGTGGTCAGAGTAGGGTGGTTAGAGCAGGAACCTGTTGAGAGTTTCTTTCGCGTCTAAAGACAACTATCAGTCTAAGATGCAAACAATCAATTAAAACCTATAAACTCTAATATTCAAATTCAAATTCGCGTTTGTCATTCCTATACAATTTCAATAAAAGAAGTGAGAAGAATTATTTGAAGTATCAATTAGATTCATCTTTTGTGATCATGTTCTCAATTTTCATGACTTATGAATATCTGTTTAATGAAGCTTTGATATTACAGGGAGAATTTTGATGCTGATCATTCTTAGGGCTTTAACGGTTAAATCCTACTTGGTCATGGCAGGATGGTCAGTAAAGTTTGTTTTTTCGATATTATTCACAGCATAAAATTTATATCTGTTGTGACAAAATGGTTCTAATGTAAGGCGATCTTGGAGTTGACGGTTTTTAAAAAAGGGAAATAACCAGATCTTAAAAAGAAAGTCAACAAGGCATATTATCTTCCCATAAGTGGACAATTAAGCAATTAACAGCCACCCAATACGGCTAGTACAGCACGTGGCCAGAGTGAAACCTTATATTGATACTGGTTTTCACTTTTGAGTCTAAAATTTATTACGTGACGTGTCCATTCAAATGAAATCTCTTCGGCAGTATTTCGAAAGATTCACCTTATTTTTGAAGTTTTATAGAATGAAATTTATCTCTGTTCTGAGCAGTGTTGTTCTAATGTAAGGCGATCCTGTAGTCACGGGGTTGAAAAAAAGAAATGCCGGAAGGCAATGAGGTTAAGTATCTAAGCTCAACTTGCCAGAGGCAGACATGTTAGCTATTGTTAACCCTAAAATAGCTCCAGCAAGTGGTCAGAATGGGCGCGTCTGTATTAAAAACATGGACCTTTAGGCTTTCTTCTTCTAAATCTGAAAAATGTCGTGTGATGCGACCAATCACATAAAATCTCTTCGGTAATCTCTTCGCATGGTGCGACTTGGTTTTCGATATTTTACAAAATTTCTGTTTTTAAACAATTTTTTGGAAGATAATACGTTAAAGGGTACACACAGAAAAAAAGGATCGAATCTCAAATTCCCAGAGGGAAGCAGGTTGGTTAATAGCGATTGCCTCTGCTTGTAAGCCGGTTATTAGTCTGTAATGTCGCATCAGCTAGTTTATGTCACTATTAAAGCTTGTAACAATTTCACGGGAACGATTAAATAGGTAAAAAGTTTCACAGATGACGGGGGAGGTAAGATCCCTTCGGACAGCCCTTCAATCCGACCATGACGTTCATCCACTTACGACCATGTAGCCTTAGTGACTACCGTAACACGCAGACGTTCTTCGGACTTTTTCACGCGTTCCTTAAACAACGTTCGCATATCAATTCCTACCCGGAAATCGTTTATTTATCTTCAACCATGGAACTTTCAAATACCGAGAGGGTGAAGAGTTTATCAGTGCTTTTTACCAGTAACAATAATTACAATAATAATAATAATAATAATTATTATTATTATTATTATTATTATTATTATTATTATTATTTTTATTAAGGATCAAGCTAGGCAAGTACTCCTTCTGCAGTTTTTGTATTTCCAACAAAGCAAGGACAGCAATGTTTTCATTATTGGTGACAAGTACTGACAACAAACATGAAACTAAGCTGTTCCTTTGCGTAAACAATCATTAAACAGCTTAATTGCACTTAAAAAGTTTGACAGATTTTTCATAAGCGAACGTGTTAAAGTTAAATAATTCTGCCCACGCAGGATACTTTGGTTTCTTAGTCACGTCTAAAATGCAATAACACGATGTTTTAATATTTAAACTTAAAAGCGACCATCGGAGGCCAAGTAATTTCCTGAACAAATTAAACGTAAATATGCATAACTGGTACCTGTACTGAAGGAGATTAATGTATTATTAACACAACGTGAACTGTAGCAATTAGACAAACAACTGATAATCGCGCGAAAGATTTCGCGCCAAAACAAAAGGCCAACGGTCGTGCAAACAACGTGGTTTACAGTTCACGACGTTCAAACGAGGAACGAAGTTGACTCAGGGAATTTTGTGTTATTACTGCCTGTATCATATACCGCTTTAGACAGCCAATATCCCCAACAGAGCTTAGTTTAGAAAAAAAATTATGATGAGTACAAAATATAAACTTAAAATGAAAATAACGGTTACAAATCTCAACGATTTACTAGAGTGACGATTCTAATCATTTTTCGACCGCCTGTCGATTAGCCAATCTGATACCGAGGCATAATCAACTTTTATCCCCCCAATCTTGCACTTTAGGATTTAAGTCTCGTTATTTTCGAAGATTTTGCCTATTATCTTTAACTCCTGGCTTTTAGACTGTAAGCTGTCCCTTTAAGTCTTTTCAGTCGAGGCTTGTCAGGACAGGAGAGAGCGAACTAACCAAGAGAGGAACTGAAGAGCTTTCTTCTCCCTCGCGCGTTATCTTCTTTCGCTCACACTTAACTTCCTGCGCGCGCGACAATCCTGGGGTACTCTTGGCAGTCTAGCAAGCTATAAAACCATAAATTGGCAAAAGAAACGCCTTTCATTAGTGGTGTAACGATTAATCGAATTCTCGATTAATCACGATTATGACCGTTCGGTTCGATTCACGATTCTTTGCTTCCACCTTTCGATTTTGGTTCGATTTTTGCACAATTTTTTTGCAAACCTTTTCCAGGGTGCCCTTAGTGAGTTATTATACAAAATCGGAATCCAGAACGCTTTAAATCGTACCTTTATGATTGACGAGCAAAGACGATAGCATTTCGTTTCATTTTTGTGTTGCCTGGTAAAAATGCTGTCCTTCAACCACCGCTTGAGAATTTCCAAATAAGGCAAACTATGTGCGACACGCTCTTTGTCAGGTTCTCAAACATGGAGACGAATCAAGCGACTGTGAATCCTCCTGTCCCTGCTGCTATTCTCAAATTGAGGATTTAGGGTTGCATGTTGTTTACAATACGCCGGCGTTATGTTATAAGAATTAAGAAACATTTACATAATCGAATCGAAATAATCGAAATCGAGAGGCAATAATCAAAATCGAATCGAACAGCAAGGAATATGAATCGTTACACCCCTAGCTACCTTTCATTGACCAAATTATCGCCATATAACAAGTTTTGAGGATTCCTTAGCACGCTGTCCCCAATCATACAAACTGAGATAAACATTAAAGGCAGCGGGCTGCCATTATCGCATAATTCAAGACAATCTTTACCACTTCCCTAAACACTTTCATATCAGTGGATTGCACACTACTTTACAGAGAACTAATATGAAGTAAAGAACGCCGTTATGGTTCCCGTCACAACATCGACAAGTTATTCTGACCGACTGAGGCAATGGCGGGAAAATCGTTGGAATATCTACATGGAAATAATCTTTACATTTGGGAAGACAATGAGTGTTAGTTTCAACGGAGCTCTTACCGAGAAAACGGAAAAGCTACAAGTCAACGTGTGGGGCCAAATTAACAACAGAATTTAAAATAATTATGCATGAGTATGAGCGCATAGAACGTTAAGAGAGAATCCATCAGGAAATTGAGTAATTTTAGTTTTTAGGGGACAAAAACCTCGTATCAGAATAATTTAAACAATATCGAATTATATTTTACATTTTTCAAGGACTATAGGTATAATTAGTTATCTGTAATAACACCAAAGAAAATTTCTTATGAGAGCCCGAGAAATCAAATGTAAAATTTCACAAAATGACATATTACACATGCACTGTTGGTCACGTCGCAACCGTGGGACGTTTTTTAGAATTCCATATCCATTACAAGTTAGCTAGTTCCCTAGTATCACATGAATACAGGGTTGTAACATTGTGAATTTTTCTACTGTCTGGCTGCATTCCCTGAGAGAAGGTGGGCGGGTGGCATTCATCCTCTGTTAAGTGGAAACCACTAAAGCTGACAGCAAGAGCTGGTGCTGACCAGTCTAACAAAGTTTACCCCGGCATTGTACACGAAAATCGCACCCTTGCCACATCAACCCAAGAGAAACGTTTTTCTCCTGTTTTCTTCGAGTAAATAAGCTGTGGGGTACGATTCTCGAAAGTTAAAATTAAGCGTTCTCGAAGGTCCTAGAATAAAGCGTGTCCTCTTGACTTCTTAGACCGCGAAAGTAGCCATGAATTTGAATCATAAGCGCGTTCTCTTGCTTTCATACACCCCAAAAGAAGCCATAAATTTCAACTGTAGATTAAGCTCGTCTTGGGTTATGGATTTCTCAAAGTTATCGCTTAAACTAGCGGACCCCCTTAATAGCAATCACAGGAGCAAAATTCACAAGTGTCAGTTAACAGCACTCAGATCTCTTTTCTTTATTATCCATTTAGCTGATACATAAGCCAAGGCAATAGGATAATAAAATAAATGTAGACTAATGAGACGATTTAAAGAGCTATTTCACGCAGTTTAAAGAAATTTAGAATTCAGGACCGATAAAAATGACTCAAATATCAAAACAAAACAAAACAAATACAAGCGAGGAAATTGATGGACAAAATTTGGGAAAATTGTAACAAACTACATGAGGATAATTTAATAAGTTGATGACAATTTGTATGAAATTGTACTTTATAGTGGTAAGGCTTGGCCTTGGTTTTGTTCATCGAAAATCGTTGCTTTTGAAAATTGAAGTTAAGTTATCGTCATTGACAAAATTATTGAACTATATGCCCTCACTTGCTCACCATTTGATGGTATTTCAAGTGACACAGCTTTCAGCTTTAGGTATTACAGTCCGACATTTAAGAAACCTATAACAGCGAATATGGTTTAAATTTAACGTTATAGAAGAACATTGCGTAAGGGAAAATAGAAACAATTACTGGGGGCAAAACGGGCCAAGGAGCTTTATAGATTATTTTCACGCCTTACAGTTAAAACAAATATCCAAAAAATTAATTTATCTAAAACATGTTTTGAAAAACGATGTAACAATTGTGGCCAAAAAAGGCTAAACACACTTGAAAGTGAGTGTTTAGAAAATAAACTTTAAGCATGTTAATTTGGCAAAAACAAAACCCAAATGTCAAAATTATTCGTTATAAGTTAGCTTTTTTAAAAAAGATTCTTAAAAACAATAGCCTGGAAGTCAAAAAGCGTTTACTATAAATTCTATACCATGTAGTTCTAGTTTTATTATTATTTTTTAATCATCTCCTCCTGTTAATCTTTGTGAGCTTCATGAGCGTACTTAAAAGTTCAGCATTTCTTTTCTTTTCGTCGTTTTTCAGAGCTATTAATCTCTCTTCCTCTTTCTGCAATGTAGGAATTAATTCGGACGCTCTCCTTAAGATGGTGATCTTCGCTGCCCGCTCGCTTTCTTCCAGTGAAGGAATGCATTTGCGAAGACACTGAAAACGGTTCCGTAAATCGTTCCTTCTTTTTCGCTCTAGGTCGTTGTGCGAGATGCGAGCATTCCCTTCATCGGTTTCCTGGATTAAAGATTCACTGTCGTGTTTCCTTGAACGTAGTTCCCTTGGTGGTATATTCCCGTCGTTCGTTAATTTGCTTGTGGTGTCGCGACTTGTACTGGTGGAATGTTTCACTGTTTTGTCTCCTGTGACACTTACAACATCGATTTCGTCCTCATCTGTCAAACAAAAAGAAAGGTTTTCTTTGGTAAAAACACCCAAATATTTCTCATAAACACTTTCGCTTAAGGACTAAAAGCCGCTTGAAAGTTTTGAAGGATCGGATGATTGATTTAGAAGAGGCAAAAGCCTAAACTGACATGAGTTCTCCTAACGATTAAAAAACGGTCTTACTGGTTCTTTGCGAGTAACAGGCTAACAGTGATCAAAGGAAAACAACAGCTCTTTCACACAGCAAGAAAGCATTAAACTATAAGCAAAAGGCCTTTTTAGCATTGGAACATACTTTAAAAAAGTTTCAACTATCGATTGGTAAAATACTTCGAAACAACGGAACGGTTCGCTCGTTAAAACAGCTAAACCTTATCACAAACTTCGATGCCGGTTTCACATAGAAAGCAGCTGCATGTATCGCTTTTTCACTCAGTTTTCCTCCAAAAACCTTCACACAGAAGGAATCACTACAAAGCGGCTATACTGCATCAACATCGGAGGTTATGTTTCAAATAGAACTTCCGCAAATTTATCTCGAAGCATCAAAATCCATGAAATAGTTCAATGCTTTCCTTAAAGAAACCTTAATGAAAGATGTGGTTTATTAAAAACAGACTGGAAATACATTTATCACTTAATTCAAAAGGCAGCTATAATTTAACTGAGGCTTAATTGTTTGGCACGTTTTAAAACTGTTGGCCAGACGTTTTCCTCTTCAAAAGACGTTTACATCCTTATTATTTTCAGGTTTTTTTTAACACAGAAGTAAGCAAGATGCTCCCTACGTATCCTGAAAATGCACAAATCCTTATCCTTTAAACTACTTTTAATAAAAAGCCAAAGAATTAGAAATAGGAAAAGTATAAAAATTAAACAACAAACAAACAAGTTTCCTCGTGTTCTGAAAACAATAAGAAATACATTTGGATGGGTTATTCGACTGCAGGTACTGATTCATTGCAAGGATGAGCTCCTTTGTCTTGGTTGTATTATATTGTTCGAGCTCC